ATCTTAGCTAATCTCATCTAATCTCATCTCAACTCATCTAATCTAATCTACTCTCATATCATCTCAGCTCATCTCAATACATCTCCTCTTATCTCATATCATATCATCTCATCTGATTGCATCTAATCTCATATTATGTCATCAAATTATTTCTTAACTCATCTCATCTCCTCTCATTTCTTCTTTTTACATCTACTTTTATTTCAGGTCAAATTTACTCATCTGATCGCAACTCATCTTATCTAATCTCATCGTAACTCATCTCAACGCATTTCATCTCATCTCTTCCAATTGCATCCAATAATATCTCATCTCATTTCATTTTATCTTATCTCATCTCAAGTTATCTTACCTTATGTTATATCATTTTATTTTATCTAATCTCATCTCATCTCGCCTCCTCGCATCTCATGGTATTTCCTCCCACTTCACCTCAGCATTTCTTATCTCATCTAAACTCATCTTATCTAATCTCACCTCATCTCTTCTCTTCGCATCTCATCTCATCGCATCTGATCTTATATCATCTCATCGCATAGCATATCGTCTCATCTTATTTCATCTTATCGCATCTCACCTTACACCGTCTCATCACTTCTCATATAATCTTATTTCATTTCATTTAGTCTCTTTGCATCTTACCTTATATCATCTAATCTTATCTATTCTTATCCCGTCTTATCTCATATCATATCTCAACTCACAATATATGCTTCCACGCTATCCAGTATTGTGCATTGTAATATATCATTATCGTGCTACTGTTGGTTGAGTGATGATACCGTTTAATTCATATAATAACATGAGCAATATTAATAACATAATTTTTGTTATTGCTTTTATAAATATATTATCAAAAATTAATAAATTAATAGCACATGCTTATATGCTTAGTAATTTGGAGTGAGCCGAACAGTCACCTTAAACGTCAGCAAGCCGGTATCAACCAGTGGTGGAGAGATTGAGCCAGTGCTATCACAATTGCATGTATCCGAGTCTCCGGTGCACGTAGCTTCAACTCCACAGGCGCACTTCTGCAGGCCCGGAACTGCACCACCCCAGTAAAACCTCGGCTGTCCTTTCCTTGATACCCACCATCCCCAAGCACGATTGTCATAACTGGTTCCACCTAATGAGGGAAAGATATGTCTAAGCTATATAAGGTAATTAATTTCGTTCTGACAGTGGCTGATAAAAATAAACAAAAGTTACAGGATAGAGCAACACCTTTATAGTTCGATGATGGTGCAGCAAAGAAACAAAACCAGATGCCCTTAGTCATTACGAATACCCTCAGGACTATCCCGGCATTCCGTAGAATCTGAAAGCCACCGTTCAGTACGGTTGAAAATATCAATTAGGAATGAAGCATTTTTTGTTTCTGTCATTAATGAAGGGATGTCTATGCTACAAAACGCTAAATAATGGAGTCTTATTGGCGAATAGCTGGCACGTGATCTAAGGTTTTGGGGAGACAGATGGAAAGCTACTTGTGAAACTATGGTCAGATCATACC